TATGCCCGTCTTCATTAGCCCAGGTTAGGAGCAGAACAGTAGGACGTTAAACCTCATTTCATTTCATTTCATTTCTATCTTAGGTCCACCCGACCTCGCGGATCCACCCGACCACACCAAACCACTCCGAAATTCACCCAATATCCACCACAACTTCGTTTGACTTCGCGCATGCGCCACACTGGAACTAAAGGTACCATGACTACCAAATTCCGGTACGTTGGTACCTAGGTGCCCTGAAAATTTCAAGGCGATACATGCATTCGTTCATGTCGTTTGTTCTTGACACGGTTCCTGCCGTTCGTCAATTTACGGATTCTGTAAGGGGAAAAAATTGGAATTTCGCTACGACACCGGCACCGGTAGTCCGAAAACCATGAAATTTGGATACATTACGCCCATTACCACACCGGACTCTGTACTTTACTCCCATTTTGATCCGATTAAAAAAAAGAGTTTTAGCAAAAAAAAGGATTTTCGGAATTTAATTTTTGTTTTAAAGATACATTATGGGAGGTAAGATAAAGAGATGGCAGTTCTCCTATAATAGTTAAAAACTAGATAGTGTAACGGTAATTTGCTGAAAATTTCAGTCAAATTGATCCACTATGAGCCGAGAAAGAAGGAGGTGAAATTTTTGCATAGTCTCGGTATTCATGACTAAAATCATTTTATAAACAGCATAGTCTCTATTATCCACTTTTTCTGATTTAATTATCAACGGCCGTTAGCGGCATATAGGAATCTAATCCAGCCAACATCGAAGGCTAGCCTTGACATCGAGAGTTTATTATGGTCTGGATAAGTTAATTAATGTCTAATTGATAATTTAGATAACACTTCAGGCCTAAAAAAAGACTTGTAATAAGCAGATTTTGCTCTTCCATAATGCATGGTTAATTAATTTTGACATTGCAAATGTAAAAGGATCTTATCGCCTCTTCCCTAAGTGATAGGTGTTAGTACTATTCACATTATCCTTACAAGACAATTTTTGAAAATGACCGCAACACTAAAAACCGAAATCGACTATTTTGACTTTTTTTGACTGCTGAGGCATCCTTCCGGTGTTCAAAATCTCTGGAATTTCCATTGGTTGGCTGCGCCGCGATAATATTTATCATATATTAAAAGGAAAAAAACCCCGCGATATTATACTTACTGACATGGGAGTTATATTTTCCGAATCCTTGAAGGAATGCCTAAAACACGTTCAGAACAGAATTTTGATTTCGGTCAATTGATGGTCTCCATTTGGAATTGAATATGGCGAACAGTGAAAAATCCACTTGAACAGACGTGAAAATAAACACAATAGGCCGTAATATGTTCAATGCGTCTATTATTTCTGAAATTAATGCATTTCAGGATAGCTCGGGATCAAGATCGATTTTTTGGTATTTGAAAATTTTCAAAATTTCGTATTTCGCCTTTTGACCTTTTATGTGCCGACAAAGTTGTTTGCAGGACAATTTATGCCTTTAATTTTCAAAATTTACAAATTTAACCTAAATATTCGAACAGCTAAGGTCAATCTGATTCAAAAAATATTAGTTCCGTTCAAAGTTATTTCATTTATTTTTTTGATATTTTTCTGCTCCTTTTTAGTTCTTTCCCGCCATTTTCGTTTCATATTCTCATCCGTCCCGTTTTTAAACGGCTTGATCCGTTTTTCTGAAACTTCTGGAACGGAAAGTCATTCCGATTACAGCAATCCAAGTCTCAGTTATTTCCCTTTAGTTTCCAGATTATTTGGTTGCCCGGGTGCAATGTTTCTCACTATATTTAGACTTGTAACTTCGCGACTTTTTCACCGATTTTGATAATTATTTTTTGTTGTTCTTTTTTATTTTAAGATACTTGATATAACCCATGTCACGTGACGATGAATATGAAAGCTTTCATATCTGCGTGGGACAGTAGCAGATCTAGTTAGGGTTTCACACTGCGTAGCCAGTGTGAAACACTATTGTTTTTGTTAAGATTATTATAAGGTTTTCACCATTGAAAGGCTATTGTTATTACTAAGATTAATATTATTATTTTTTTTTTCCATTTTGCCTATTTCTCAGCAACTATAAGAGATAGAGGTCTGAAGTTTGATTTTTTTCTCGGGAAACTGGGTGGTAGTTAGTGCTTAAATGTAAAACAAAATTTGTTCGCATAGCGGAAATGCGTCAAATCTTTAACGTGCACGCAAATTGAAAATCGGCCATAATTCTGTTAATTCTTAACCGATTTTTCAGACATTTACATTTTTGGATAGCTGGAGACATTTCTGAGCAGATAGCAGTTCAAAAATGTCGAGTTTAGAGACTTTGTAACTCTCATTTTTTCGGTGAAAATTGGAAAATTTTCAAAATTTTCTAAAATTGTTATTTTTTGGAATTTTGAAATTCGACTTACATTTTTGGATAGCTGTCATCAATCAGATTTCAGCAATATAAGTTTTGTTTTTAAAACGGCTCAAACGATTTTTCTGAAACTTCAGGAATATAAAGTCGAAGGACCAAACAAGTCCATGAACTATAAATGAAAATCCTCTAATCACCGGAAGTAGTCAAGAAAGGTATCCAAAGTTTGACAAAATTCAGAAAAATGGGTGCCTGTGCGGAAATTATTTCTTGTTCGATTTATATAAAACAAAGTTCATATGCTCTGTTGTCTCAATTGTCATTTTTTTTTTTTTGTTACCGATAGTGTTATCTGTCGGCACCGGAAGTGGCATAATTTTACCAAAAACTACAATTTTGACAGTTAGGTACCATTTTTCAAAAGCAAATATTATTTTTTTAAAACTGATATAACTAAAAGAGTGTGCCCTTTAAAGGCGCAAAAAACGCTGAGCTTAGTTTTTTTTTTAATTTCGATTTCATTTTCGAGCAAATTCGATATAGAGGTGAAAAAAGGTCTAAAATTAACCTCTTTACAACCCATTCAGGCTTTTCAAATTTTAAAATATATCTACGTAACTTTTATAACCTTGTAGCTATAATCCATACGAAGAAAATGTATGTTAAAATTAGTTATCGGCAGTGTTATTTATACAACCACTGTACAACAGTTCCAAATATCAGGAGTAGGAGAACAACGGGGTCGAAAATTGAAAACGGCATCTTTCATTGTTAAGGGACTCATATCTGAAGGTATAACCAACGTTTACATCCCACTTCTACTCGTTGCCACTGGCAACCTTTGATAAAACTGTCCTGTTTATTTTCAATACATGCTTAAAAGTATCCGTGTATCAGAAATGTACAGAAAGAGTACTGTTCATTTCTGATACACGGATACTTTTTTTTACCGTGTTAGATACCTATCAAGCAATAGGTAGCGGACGTTTAGTCCAACCCAGATCGCAATTGATAACGATGGCTCTATACTATGCACAAGGATAATGTACATGAAACAACTAGTCAAAATCATAGTAACAAAACAAAATGGGGGGAACTACAAGGCAGTTCAAAAACATATACAATGACATTAAATTAACATAACAACATATTACAAAAATCAATTAGTATACATATCAATTGGCATCTATTTCATAATTTGGTTTGATTTATATTAATATGCAAAATATATAAATTAGAATATTGAATAATTATTTTAATTAATTGTGATGATAGAAGGCGCAGTTCTCTTGCTGGACACTTCACAGGCATTGAAAATAAGCAGGATGAAAAAAAACGCCTAGAAAGTCATAAACTTTATTCCAAATAAGTTTCAACGGAAGAACCATCCGCCGATGCATACTGTCACCAGGAATGACCCACGTTTCGCATTTCCTTTACTACATTTAATAATATCTCAGTCCTCTACGCCATAGACAAGTTGTTTTCACGATGTGGTCTAAACAAACACGTGATTGTTTTACGCTCAGAGTATCACAGCAAGACGCACGTGTAAATACTACTCAGGTCGTTTCTCCACTGCGAAATCATTCTACCATGAAATGTAACGTGAGGCTCAGAAAGGGATAAATAATGAAAGAGCAGAAAGTATTTGTCACTTTTCGGTTGAAACTACTCGATAATAAATACTATTTTTCACATTTTGCTTCACAATATTCGATAGAAATGGGATGTAAGTAACTTATTAGCACCTTTCCTCGGTGTATCGGTGAATATCAGGACAGTTTTGGTCGGGAGCCGCCTAGGCTGGGCCCCTCGACCAAAACTTTCCAGATATTCACCGATACACCGAGGAAAGTGTGCTAATAACTACTACATATCCAACGTATAGAGCATATTCGAGAGTGCTTTTTCTTTCACAGTGACGATATTTACTTCAACTTTGGCCCTTGTTTCGTGGGTGATCTGTGTCCTTTTACTAAGAACCAAAAGCTGACCTTGACCGTATATAGGCTGTATTAATATTCTGGAATAGTACACTAAAATTTGGGAATGGTACATATAACATGAAATGTAATATTATATGTCATATGTTTACACTATTTATATTCATTTATTCACTCTCATGCATGACGTAATGAGTTCTTACTATATATTTTATTGTTCTTTTAGAAACAAAATAAGCCAAATCAATCGATATAGCAGTATTAGGGAAAACGCAGGACAATCCTATTATTTATTTTAAAAATATCTAGAATAGTTTGCTTTTGGTACAAAAAATATTTTATGATTTTTATCTGTCGGGTTATGAAAAAGGCGAGATTTTACATGTCCCCAATCAAGCTACATACAAATGTAAACAGCGCCATCTGTTACCAAAATGGGCTTAGAATTATAACGCTTTTATCGCGTAATAATACAATAAATTAAAAGTAATAATGGAAATAGAACAAAATACAAATTCTAACTGCAATATTTAAAAAAATAAGTCATAGAAATGAGCATTTTTACATGTGTAAATAGCCAATTTAACATGTGTTAGTAAGAAGTTACATGCATAGAAGTAAGCATATTAGCATACGTATTACTAGATTAGGAGTTAATCAGATTGGTTCTGGCTATTACAAAGTTAAAAGGTAACCGAACCTGGACGTAGTAGTAGGTCCTGTTGGGACACCATGGATCTGTTGGTCCTTCGATGGCGTCTTTATTCTTCTATCCGTTGTTGTGATAACGTAAATAATCAAAATATTTCATTGTTAAATAATCAAAATAGCCCTTGGCTAAATAAGTAGAATACTATCTGGCATTTTCATTTTATCCAAAGAGTTCACATTCGATTTAATCTTACCTATGAGCAAAATAAATGGATCTTATTTTATAATGTTTGATAAAATAAATTCACTATTGAAACTACCCAAGATGGACATCCAATGATGTACCACATAACCTCGACATCAACCAATCAACAACTGATTTATTTAAAGTCTGGTGGGTGTATTTTGTTTGATGGAGTGTTAGCTATTAACATCTTCATAATGTATCTGGATATAACACCTAAATTATTTGCTAACTGTCGGGGAAGACATTTGCCTTGATGGATTGACCAATGTCCACCTCTATCACCTAAAATGACCAGTAACAAGAAATCGTCAAAAGCCTATTAAATATCATAATTTGTATTAGAAAGAATGCCGAAACACTCCACCATACTCACTACAATATACCGGGTCATTATGGCCTGGGGTGAGTGTATGACTTGACATTTTATAACTTCATGTTCATAGAAATACATATTGCTCGATGAACTTTAATTGCCCCCTACTAAAATCACATTTCTATCACTGAACCGAGTAGAAAGTATCAACCATGGTTAAGAAATGAAAGAGGGTTTAGCGGTCATAAGTTAAGCAGTGTGCTATGTGACAAATTTTGCCTATTCTGTTGAATTTCATCATTTTAGCACTTTTTGTTTTAGGGATCTGGGGATATTGTTCGCATGCGGAAAAGCATGTGAACACGGTAAAGATCAAATTTCTTGAAGGCATAAAAGATTCAAATATGGCAAAATCCAATAAAAACATGGTAATGCACGGACTTTTTCTATTTTTTTTTTTTTCGTTTTCTCTAATCTAGTGACAGCTAATTATTTTTTTTGAATTGTCAGATATCCTCCCCATAATCTCATTAACAACTTTTGGTCTTCGAAGGAATTATTAGTGAGCAGAAATTCGCCCGTTTATCTGTTATCACTCGTCACTTCAGTCAGCTATTTCTTGAAATCTTCATTACGCATCTATCATAGCAATGGTTTCTGTGTTATAATTATATTTGGAACGTGTTTAACCAGTTCTATCCCATATGATAATGACTGACACCAATATTGTTCTATAAAGGTAAGATGACGTTATAGAGTGTATTTGAAACATTTGCATTGGAATTCTCATCTAACAACACATTTTCTTATAGAATATATGTACAAGATGTTAAAAATACTACAACTTATTATCTTGGGAGAGGGGACGATGTTGTATTGGAGCCCCGTGGTCTCTCGTTGTGTCAAGCCAATTATTGCATAGTAAGGGTTTTCAGCCCTGGGGAGGAAAAGACACTTTTGCCATCCCTATATCGGTAGTCATGAAATTTAATAATTGTGTACCGAATAAATGTTATAACAAACTTATCTTTCTATACTGTCGCTTATATTTGAAAAGAAATATAAAAGTGAAAACAGGGATGGCATAATTATTAATAGAAAAATTTGGGCCTATTCACACTGGCGCCAGGGGAAGATGTTACAGTCTGTTACACCACATATTTCTCTCTTCCTTTCACATTTTTCTTGACTGGTATAATTCAATCAGATGTACATTAGTTACATGTAGCAGCAATTTCCACTGGGCTAAAAAATACACTTTTATAGAGCATCGGTATCTATGCGTTCGACAAATATCTGTATTACAATTTAGTCGAGCGAACACTGGTGATGTTCAGAGGCAGCTCGTAAGCGATTTTTAATTGCCACTATATTGCTAGAAAAATAGAATTTCCCCTATGTGCGTCATTGCGAGGACATATGATTATGATTTTTCTCGACGGCGACTTGTTGCCAAATATTAAACAAATCTGATACTCAGCGACAAAGAAATGTTTGTCGCTCTGAAATCCTACAGCATTAGCTGTGTATGCGGCAACAAAAGGAAATGAAATAAAAAGGAATCTTAAGTCCTACTTTTCTTCACCGACTGGGATAAAGAAGATGGTGAGGATACGTCATGAGGGAAATTTTGCCCGGACACCGGCGCTATAAGGCCTACTCCTATCTAGAATTCCAATTGCCAGGAGTTCTTTTATGTGCACGCAAGTGTGTACACAGGAGCTCGGTATTTTGTTCCATCTAAACGAACATACACTGTTCCTTGCCAAGCCCCCCGTCCTGTACCACTAACACGGGGAAACCACGCCGGAAAACCCCGAGTAAGGTTCTCGGCCAACACCGGGAGCGAAGCCAGGACCTTCAAGAAGCGAGCCAGCGTCTTACTCACTGAATCACCGCGGCTCCCGTGCGACAGAAGGCAGTCTATCTTGGACCTAATTTTTATTGGACCAATCAGCGCATTCTAAAATATCAAACGTGTTGTTACATAATAGCGGACAACCATTGACTATATTTTCATCATGACTTGTTGCCCAATTATTGCTCGTAGGTTCAGCAATAGATCGCGCGTCTGTGCTGGGCTATAGGGGTGATTATATTATATTTGAGTAAATTAAAAGTTGTATTTGTTGGCCAGGGTGTACTGTTGATCATAAAAAAACAAATACTGTTTTAACACCAAGGTCAATATTGTATTGGCTCTACGCCCCTCTTTTAAGATTAAATAGAAGTGTACGTGATGGATTATTGGTAACTATCAAACAAAAGCCGAAAATCAAACAAATCTACACATTATATGCATTTGATTTATACTCTTCAAAAAAGTAGCGGATTTTGAAATGCAAATACCTATGCAGGTTGTGATATGATAAGTAGCCATGGACACTTGACATGCTTTGAGAGTATCTTCACAGATGAAGAACTTGTCGCCCCAACAGAACCACTGAGCTGCACATGCGACACACAATAGCGCTATACACGTGGGCGGCGTTTATTGTCAAATTTGAGACTTCAGGGAAGGGTTGATTAAAACTGCCGAGTGCTGGTTTATCTATCCATGTTTGTTTTCCTATCGCTTCTTGCTTAAGATTTACTGTTTAGCGTATCTTTGCTTTAGTGTGTTACTTTCATTTGATCGAGAGACGTTTTCGTCGCTGTCAACGTCAACCGACAACACTACAAGAATTGGCCGAGGCACTGCAAGAGAGAGGGGTGGGTCAGATTGCCAAAATCGTGATTGGACGGTTGATTAGGAGCATGCCACGACGAATTGCTGAATATCTGAGGATTGGTGGAGCAATTACTCATTATTAAGACAAAAATTGAAAAACGTCCATTTTCACTTTTGAGAGTGTATCTATATACTATTCAAAAAAAGTAGGGGATATTTGATTTTGGGGGCATAATACTAAAATATGCAAATGACTACGAAAAAAGTCACTATAGAACCTAACAGATGAAACATTTCCAGTTACATGTGACGCCCAAACGCACCAATAGCTACCGCATGGAATGCAGGTGATGCTTGGGATCATCATGGGGGTCCAACCCAAGATTTGCACGACTCTGACTTTGAATGTTACAGTCATTGTGGCATTGAATTCCAGGGTGGAAACATCAGTTTAATTGTTTTAGTGACCAGAAAACAAATTTTGATATGCGTCGGCTTACCCAAAATGAAAGGTTACGTGCCCTTGGCATGCTACAGATCGGCACAACACAGGCGGTTGTGGCGCGGACGATGAATGTTTCTCAGTCTGTCATAAGCAGGCTAAGGTCCAGATACTGTGATACACAATCTGTACAGGACAGACCACGCTCAGGTCGGCCAAGGGCGACAACTCAAGCCCAGGATCGATTTATCCGTACCTTGGCCTTGAGAAATCGTGTCATCACAGCAAATCAGATCAGCGCTCGTCTTCAAACAGACACTGGTGTGAGAGTGAGTGGCCAGACGATTCGGAATCGACTGCATAGGGGTCACCTTCGCGCCCGACGTCCTCGCGTGATCCCTTGTTTGAGAGATCATCACATTCAGGCAAGACGTCGTTGGTGTAGGGATCGTCAACACTGGGATAATCGACGCTGGAGCAATGTGATGTTTTCAGATGAGTCAAGGTTCACTGTTGATTTTTTGGACAGACGTAGGAGGGTGTGGCGTCGTCGAAACGAGCGCTTCCAAGACGTTAACGTCATCAGACATGATCGATTTGGGGGTGGTTCTGTTATGGTGTGGGGAGGCATCACTGTTGCTGGAAGAACGGCTTTACATGTTGTTGCAGGGCGTGTTACAGGCCAGTACTACCGGGACAACATCTTGGCAGTCCATGTTGTGCCGTTCGCACGACGTCATGGCCGCCGTTTCATCTTCCAGGATGACAACGCAAGATGTCACAGGGCCAGGATCGTTACAGGTTACCTCCAACAACAGAACATCACCACATTACCTTGGCCAGCACTGAGTCCCGACCTCTCCCCCATCGAGCATGTCTGGGACATGTTTGGACAGAGGTTACGTCAACGTCAACAACGTCCTGCCAATGTCCAAGAATTTGCTGCTGCGTTGCAACAGGAATGGGACAATCTGGACCAAAATGACCTTAGACGTCTCATTAGGAGTATGCCACGTCGGATCAATGCTTGTTTGGCAAACAGAGGAGGATTTACCCGTTACTGACTTGGTTGTGATGCTGTGGTAACTTTGCTGTTTGACCCCGGGTATCATTTTACCCTTATAATGGTCAGTCTGTGCCTTACTTAGTCTAACGATCATTTGGAATAAATCGATGAATGTGAACTTCATTTCATTTTGTCATTTGTTTCTTCGTCAGTTTCATTAGGTGACTTTAATAACACTTAAAAATCAAATATCCCCTACTTTTTTTGAATAGTATTTGCGAGTGAAATGGGTCCGTCAGATAAGCCGCCCATATGAACTGTTTATGTTCATGTGCAGGCAGTTGGCCTGTTATTAACATACACTGGTTACCTCTAATAAAAACAGGAGTGTATTTCTGCAGTTTTGTATTGTTTCTGAATATCCCCTACTTTTTTTGAAGAGTATATATATTTGAAATGGGTGTGGTTATGCAACATAAATTACGTGAACGGGTAGGCCTACTGATGTTTGCTTCATCGGGTTTAGATTCCTAATCTGTGAACTGTCAAAAGAACCTACTAGAGATACT